ATAAATCCCAGCAGAGATCTTGGTACTGCCGTGGTTACTTTGTCCCAAAAATTGTGTTAAAGGGGGAGCAACAAAGTGACTGGAAAGATGAGTCTGGAGCTGGGGATGTGCTGCCCATTCCTGGGCACGATGACTCCCAGGCTCCTCTCACATTGTGGGGAAGTGTGTGGTCATTGAAGGACCCCAATGGTTTTAATGTAACCTAACTTGGACAAAATGCTGAGGGTATTGCCATGGGGCAGTGGCTCAGGGCAGAGAGAAACATGTCAGTGCTCCAGAAAGAAGCTCCTTGCTACAGGAACACCCAGAAAAGGGTACTTTTCCCCCTTGCCATTGTTTGAGCGTCCATCAGGCTACAGCAACAGCATTTTGGCACAGTGGGAAGTGCTGTTTATCATCAGTAATGGGATAATAGTAGCCCCACCCCCGGGCATCAGGCATCTCCATGGGGTCATCCCTTTGGGTGGGGATCAGGATCAGCCCTGGAGAGGGGAACCAGGGTCAGACACAGCCCAGGGCAGGGCTGTGTGGTGAGCAGACATTCACTGGGCCCCAAGGTAGGAAACAGCATTTCCAATTGTGGCTGGGTGGCTTAGTGGAAGTTAAATGAGTAGTGAGGCTAAAAATACCAGTGTTAATACAGTGATCCCAGTTGCTGTGCTCTTGCCCAGGCAGGGGAAGAATTGCCATAGAAGGGGCTGCAGGGCTGGAACTGTGTGTTTGATGAATGAAAATAGCTAGAAAAAGCATTTGTGCTCTAAAGAATGGATGGCTGCAACTAGATTAGTCACTGTGTTTCTTTTCCCATAAATTTATATCCAGTTCTTGGGAATGTGTAGGGATATCTGGGTTCTGTACCATGTGTGACACAGTCCCCAAACCCTTTTCCTTTCCTCCTGGCTCTCTAAAAGCACCCTCCACACTTTGATTTTGTTAAATTTCCACTCAGACATCACTGAGCTATTGAAAATTACATTGCAAATTCATTTTCATGGAGCTATTGTCAATACAATATTGTCATTGATGGATGTGATTTCGGAATGAAAAACTTTATTTTCAGCTTTAGTTTGGGTTTATGCTGGGTTGTGCCTGGATCATGTGTGAGGAGAGTGAACAGGTGTGTACAGAAACAACTGAGTAGAAAATTTAAAAAAAAAAAAATAGCCTGAGCTCATCCCACAGATCTGAAAATGGAATTGAAGATTTTTTTTTCTTACATACTTGCCTCTGTTTGTGGTGCAGTGCAAAGTCACCTTTCTCTGTGGAGTCAAGGAAAAGAATTTGAGTGTGGTTGCCAAGGCTTCACTATGAAAATTACCTTTAATTTTGTTGGTCTCACTTTTACTCGGTCTCTTGTCTCAGGATGATCTTCACGGAGGACATGGTATATTTTTCAGATGATGAGTGTTCACTACTTTTTTTTCCATGGTTTGGCTGGGGCAAAGTACACACAGAAAGCCAACTGTATCCTAATTAAGAACATTAGCTATGTGCAGCCTGAAGATGTGAAATCTGTTTCCTGGCTATGTCTGTTGATTTAGTGTGACAGAACACCTGCTAATGCAGTGGAAAACTGCTCAACATGGAAGTCGAATGGAAAAAATGAAGTTTTGTCCCCCCCATCAACTCTTCATCTTCATTTTGTCAGTATTTTTTAGACAGCAGTTTTTTTGTTGAATGAGAACAGATTTGCTGTCACAGTATATGCTGCCCATTGTATTTCAGTGTTCATATTAAACTGTAGTTCAAACAGAAGAAGGAGAAAGTTATTTGTTCTCTATTTTGCTTTGATCTGCAGGATAGCCTAGCCATTGCTTTCTCATAGAAAAGCCGGTCTGTTTGGGTATGAATCCCATTCATATTCCAGTGTTAATCTTAAAATTCTAATCTTTAAATCTAGATCAAATAACTGAATGAGAAATAATTTAAATTAATTGAAACTATAAAAGATTGTCATCCCATAGGGCACTGCACGGTCCAGGTGTGTGCAAAGGGGTGAGAAGTCAGAACACCTTAAGTGCCCTCCAGAACTGGCCATTATCTCAATGTCACCCAAGTCCTTTAACCTCTTTTATTTCTTGCGTTGTTCCTAATTCATATAGAAATGATCTAAATCATAAAATTATTCCATGGCTTAATTAGAAGTGTGAAAAGAGTAGTTCCTCTGGGGTAAATGATAATGTGGTCAAAGCTTTCAGAAATAGGTTGTTGCCGCACATGTATTTTGGCAGCTAAAGGTGGTTTCATTTTGCAGAAGTTTCTCATTTACCCATTTCCACCACTGTCCTACTTCCTCAAAACCATGATACTTTTTTATTTGTTTGCTATAATCTCCAAGCAGGACAAGGAAAGTTCCTGAAGGATCTTGAAGCCCTTCTTCAGAGAGGCAAAGAGTGGGTCCCCAGGTGTGTTGGAAAGGTTGCAATTACTTCTTTTCCATCTGAAAGGAATGGGACATCCCAACCGTTGCAGACACCTTTAAAATCATAACTTTTAATCAATTAACCTCTTTCCTCTATTTAAAAAAATCATAGATCTATATGAGAGTGTGAAAATTCTTTTTGGTCCATATTTTTGGGGAGGAAGAAAATAAAATTCCCAAAAAAATTTTCACAGAGAAACACCTTCCTTGGTATTTCCCAGAATCAAAAAATCCTCGTTTGCTTGTGTCCTTCACAGAACTCCTGTTTTTCCATGCATGACATTCTGGATAAAACCTCATGATTCAAAATGCAAGATTGACCAGGAAGGTTTATGAGTCTCTTTTAGGCTCAGCGTGATGACGATGGAAATACAGGCATATGGATCAGTTCTTGAGAATATCACATCATTATAAACACCATGTGGTACTTGCTAGGAGAGGTGGGATTTTAGTCCAGAGCCCTCTCTGAGCTGCAGACCTGTAGCATTCTGGTTGTCCTGTATTGGTTTTTTTTCCTTTTTATTGTGTAACACTGTTTGATGATGCTTAATGGAAGCCATGCCCTTGAAACAAAAAGTCCTGTCACGTTGATCGTGTAAAATGCAATATTTTCAGAACCCAAACTTCTTTACAGAATTTTGTACGCAATTAATTTTTAACCCTCAATAAAGAATTGTAATAAATTCTTGGAGATAAACAGATCCCTTCATTAATCATGATTTTAAAGGCCATAATAATTCTTTTTAAGGAAAAAAATTTCTTCTTTAGCAAGCCTGCCATGCTGGTAGTTCTGGGGAACTTTTTTGCGGAGGTGGGGAATTTGCTGTAGGATACGTTGCAGTTAGCATGAAAACAAGCAGCCTTGTCTTTCTGACTTTCTATCTGTTATTTATCTATTCACGTGTGAGCCAAGAGGGATTTAGTGGAGGCTGGACTGAGCCATTAAGGGTGGATGAATTCAGCTGCAAGTTTGAAATGATGGTAATTGCTTGCCCATCTATTCAGTATTATTTTTGACTCTTCCCTGACTCCAGCAGACTCCAGGAGTCTCTTTGCTACCTTTCCCCTGCTGATGCTCCCTCCTACCATTTCTTTCTTCTTGCCTTATGCATCTGAATCTGTATTTAACACTTTGATCCCTATCTGCATCTGTTCCCTCCCTTCTCTTTCCTTCCAGCACTTCACTTAACTTTATTTTGTGCATTGACTTGTTGCTTTGCCCCACTCCCTTGCTCTGTGAACACAGGAGCATTTACAGTGCTCAGGATAGTGCAGACTAAGTCACATCTGCCTCCTCAAATCACCCTCCTGCCTTCCCGGTAGATCCACCCCAGCTCTCTCCCTGCATTGCCCGGGGGCTCTTCCCAGCACCAGCAATTTTATGCCATGGCCTCATACAAAAATCAATGTAAAATAGTGTCCTGTCAGTGCCCAGGGTTGACATGTGAGCAAACATTTTAGCTGAGCTTCAGCTTATTTCATGCTTTAATGAGAAAGGTTGTTAAGGAGATATGGCATTGGGTTTAAGAGTATCTCAGAGCTTCCCAAAAAAATTTCATTTAAATTCACAGGGGCTTTTTCCAGCCAGTGAAACTCACATCTGTCCTGGTAAGCAAAGAAAGAAATCCAGCAAAATGATGAAGCCAGCTAAAATAGAGTAATTTCCCAAAGCTAGCTTTCTTGCACAGAGGGATATAAAGGGACTTCCATCATTTTGTTGTCTGAAAACAGCAATGAAATCCAGATTGAGATGGGAGCTCCCTGTGTTTTTATAATATCATAAACACTGGGAGAGCTATGTGATCAGTAAAGGACTGGTATGTGTATGCTGCTTCTCACAGCATTTGACTGAAGGCAAAAAGCTTGTTCAAGACACAGGTGGAGTGAAGTGCAGTGTTGAAAGCTTAAGCAGATGGGACTTAAGGGGTTCATGAAATAGAACTAGGAGCAGCCCTGTGAGTTTCAGAATGCTTTGATCTGTAACCAAAACTGGTAAGCACCGAGAGGTCTTAGTGTTTTCCAGCAAAAGGATTTTATTGCAGTTCTGGTCTGGCTGTCCCAGGGATGAAGGTCAGGATGAAAATTTCATTTGCTAAATAAAGTTACTCGGACTGTTGATAAGAGGAAACCAAAGAACAGGTTGTTAAAAACACTTTGGATGGTTTATTTGTGCAAGCCCTTTGGATCACTTGGGTGGATCCTAGGCTGGAGCCCATGATGCTCTGATGTGCTGTGGTAGATTATACTCAAAGCAGGAAACAGTGAATCATTCTAGTACTCAGTGGCATAAATGTGGTCATAGTCTGTCCTTTTTAGTAAAAATGATGCAAAATGTTCTTGATTCAGAGGTCCACTGCCCTGTGTAGACAATCTGTCAAACATCTGCCGTAACAGCGTGCAAAAGTCTTTCTTCATACATTCCTAAACTTCCTATCACTATTTCCCTATCACTGCTGGCTGCAAAAGCATTTCTGAATAAGCAAGCACTTTCTTTCCAAAGCATCAGTCTCTTCCTTTTGCTTATCCACTTATCCACAGGCTTAATGATTCATTTGGCTCTTTTGCAACTCAGGAACCGATGGTGAGGTCACAGCTGCCTGGTTGTGTCATCGAAGTGCATGACAAAAAAGGAGGAGGCTGGCCAGGAAAGGAAATGCTTTTGTTTATCCACAAACATCTAGATAAGCAGAAGTTGTGGGTAATGAAAGCCGGAGAAACTTGGTGGTAGCAAAATGAGGCTGTGATCAAACATTAAACTTTTAAAAGCAGGTTAGAGTGTGGTTGGGTTTGCTCAGCATGCTCCTGAGAATTTATCAGAGAGAGCTATGTAGGAGAACAGAATAATCTGCTGATGAGGGGAATTATAAAAGAAAGAGCATTTTTATTTTGTAGAAACAAAATATGGTTTGAGTTGGAAGGAATTTTAAAGATTCAGTACCATGCAATGGGCAATTCAATACAATACCACACCTTTCACTAGACCATATTGCTCAACCTGACCCTTCATTTGTCATCGGGTTAGATAAGTCCTTGGACCTGATCTCTCTTGGACAAAGTGGGTGCTTCAGGAGGAGGTTTTGGTGAATAGGAGCAAAGATTTGCTGTTTCTTGTCAGGCCAATGCTCTCTCTTGCCCAGTACCTTGCTGCTAAACAAGTTCCAGAATATAAGAATGATCCTAATGTAGCAGAGCAAAGTCCAGAGTAGCAGTGTCTGAGTGATGCTCAAATGCTCAAAAAACTCTTAAGAACCAAAAAATGTGTATATAGCACTGACTGTAACATTTTCCTGGCCTCTTCTCAGTCAGGTCCAGATGCTTTGGAGGAAGCATTGAGAGTGCAAGAAACAATACACTGTTAGGAAATAACCTAATGAAGGAGAGGCATTGCCCACTCTTGGCAATTAGCAACTGGCTGCTGTGATGATGTTTCTTTATTTGTGTAATCCTCTCTGGGGTAACCATAGGGAGGCTGCTATTAAGGCCAACGTTTGGATTTGTGATTTAATCTAATTCTTTGGCTTTAGCGGTTACACACATCAGTTTGTGTTGTGGAATAACTCTGCATACATAGAGAAATTCTGACTCTGCTTCCCCGCCTGAGTCAGGGTTGAGCCAACATGAGGAGATGCTCCGGGCTGCCAGGGAGGACCAGAGTGGGGGCCCTGACCTCTTGTGGTGACTGAGGAACCAGGAGCACTCTTGGCAGTGGTGTATCTCAATCCTAGGGGCTTTGTGCTTCTAGGTGAATTAAACCTCCAAAAATCTTGGAAAGGGGAAAAGTACATCATCTGCCTAGTCAGCAGCCAGGCTGTGGTCCATGCCCCTGTGTGCAGAAATGGTACTTTCTCATTTTCAAGCTTTGCTTATATTTCTGGTGGACTATGCTTTTTTTTATAAAATTGTTGTATTTGGTAAGCCTTTAATGTTTTGTCTGAGTGTAAATGTCTGCATATGTTTGTAAAGGCAAAGAAAGATGCTCGTCATGCCATTGCTGTGATTAACAAGAGCAGTTTTCTAAAAACACCAGAACTATATTTGATGGTTGTGTTTCAGTGAACAGCTTTCAAAGAAAAAGCACCACTTTAAACCATGGCTTTTCCTTTCTTCTTTCAGGGGTGCATTCTCCGAAGTTGTTTTGGCTGAAGAGAGAGCAAGTGGGAAACTCTTTGCAGTCAAGTGCATTCCCAAGAAGGCACTGAAGGGAAAGGAAAGCAGCATAGAGAATGAAATTGCAGTGCTCAGAAAGTGAGTATCAGACCTTCATTGCTGCCTCTTTGCTTCAATTGGACTCTTGCATTTAAGGAGCAGGAACAGTGATTGACAAATGTGACTGATAGTTTGTTCAGCCCGTCACAGGCAGACAAGATGACCCGAGCTTAAATGGTGCTGAAAACGTTTCGAGAAATGCTCTGGTTCTCTTTTGTGTTAATGCAACCAACTGACTGCAAAGTTGGAAAGAAGAGGAGTTAGGCTGCAGTAAAGTCTTTGATGCCTTAAGAAGTCCTTATCCACTAATAATATCAGCAGTTGTGTCAAGGGCTTTGAGGAGAGTAAGAGCAGGTTATAATTTTCAAATGCATAAAACATTCTGTATGCTAACTGCTCTGAAATTATGACATGCTATGGATTGTCATAGGAGATGGTGGTAACTTGTGCCATGGAGAGGTACCTCTGCCACTTCTGGAAGGAGATTTATCGGGGTTGTCCACAGTGTGAAGTTTTTCCTCACTGTGGCTGGAACATATGCATAACAAAAAGGCATTTCACAATTGCTATGAATTCCTTGTAGTCATTAGAGGCTTGATCCTTATCTCTTCCTCATCTTACAGATTCATCTCACCTGATTTGAGACATTTGGATCTGAACTCATCACCCTTGACTTTCTTTCTAGGAAATGGAGAGAGATTGGTCACTGTAGGATTAGTTCATGTAGTTTGTTTTAAACTTCTGAAAGTACCTTAACTTCTCATTGAGTTAAAGGCAGTACAATTATATAGAACTCTATGTTGGACTGGAACATTGATTCCTGCTGCACTGCTGTTCCAAGTGGGACTTCTTGCCCCAGCTTTTGGTCATGTCAAAGCTGATGGCCAATCATGTGGGCACTGTGTAACAGAACAGATCCTAAAATCTACCTGGATGAACTAAATGCTCAGACAGCCTAAGCCAAAGGAGCTGGTTCAAGGGCACATTCAGCCACCTCAGTAGACAGAGAGGATCCTCTTGATTGGAGGACATAAATGGGGCTCCAAAGAGCTACAAGCATTTGTAGCAGTTGCTTTGCCATTGCTGGGCCCACCTCAGGTCAGTACAATGCAAACCCAGTGACAAATGCAGCCTGTTGTCTTGCGCTGTAGACTTATTGAGAACGTGTCATAAAACTCAGCTGTTGCCATCTCCATAACCAGATAATTATGGCCAATAACCACAGCTTGAAAAAGTCTTTATGTGTATAGGTTTGTCCCCTGGTACTCATTTGTGGGGTATAAGAGCAGCAATATCGACATGCAGTAACAATTGCCTTGCATCAGCCTTGAACCTAGACTGGTAAAGCAGAGAAATCATTTAGATTATTTCTTGCTTCTTTGTTGTGAAATGTTTCTGTTCCCTGCAAACAATTTCCTGAGAAACCAGGAGGCAGCACCCGGACTTTGCTATTCCAGCTGCAAGGGCAGGAGAGTGAGTAGGCGGAAAATTCCTTAATTTCATGCAATTAGATCTACTCAGTCTCTTGTCCTATGCACGTTAGGACCTTAAAAGAGATTTTTCCTTTTTTTTTTTCCCCCGGATTCTTCTACTTAGCTGTTGGTAATACAAACTTTGCATGTCATTGCCTTTATTCTGAAAATAGACATCCTTGCTTGCAGATGCAGAATTGAATTTGTATGTGCCACCAAGGAAACGTTTAGAAAATAACAAACTAGATCTGCATACAGTTGAGGAGAGGAGATATCAGCCTGTTTCTCTGTTCAATGAATTCTCTGCTTCAAAAACTGTCAGTAAAAATAGATTTGAGGCAGGTTGAATGGATCCTGAGCATCTGTTGCTAAGCTCCAAAGGTATCTAAGTGTCCTTGCTTTTGTTTCTGAAAGCTTAACACTGAGTGGGGAAGGCTAATTTGTCTGATGACTGGGTGGGATGCCAGAGCTCTGGGCTGCCCTGCATAGCTGTGAGGTGGCCACAGCCTTAATGTGCCATTAAGAAGAACCTCTTCTAAAGGGGATGTGCACAGAGCATGCCTGGCAGGAGGAATTGGTCCCTGTACCCTAAGAGGAAGGTGTAGAGACGCAGGGGATGGATGCAAAGCAAACGTAAATGCACGCATGTGTTTCCCTTTCTGGTTTTGCATTATGTCTTTTGAGGGTGCTTAAACTCTGATGGGATAAAAGTCCCAAAGGACAGCCTACCTAGCTAAAATGCAGGGAAACTCCTTGTGATCCGTCAGAGTGGGATCTCTTGTCTGACACTGGACTTTCTCCCCCTATGTTCAATCATTAGATTTTTGTCTTCCTCCTGATAAGCTCTGTGCTTTCTGGCAGATATCTGTCAAGTGTTGTGAAAGGCAACTCTCATTGAGTTCCCCTGGTTGTGTGTCAAATGGGGGTCAGCTGGGGGATCTTGAATATACTCCCTGCAGCTTCTGCCAACTCTTGTGTGAGCTGCTAATGCCCCTGTGTGTGGCGAGCAGGATTTTAGGGACAGTCAGTGATTGTGCTGGCGTGTCTAGGATCAGTACACACAAGTGCCACCTACACTTTGCATCCTCAGGCTGCACTGGTGAAGGTTTGTCGTTCTGCCAGTCCTGCCAAATCATTCAGATCTGGCAGAATCAATATGGAAGAAAGTTTGAATTATATTGTGTGTTGAGGTCATATTTTAAATAACGTTTTTTAAATTCAGGATTAAAAGTCTGTGCATGGAGTACTATAGGCAGTAGACTCTGGTGATGAAAGCATGAATCCAGTGACCAAAAGCCTTGGGTCCCCTCTGTCTGCTGCTTTCCTTCTATCACAGGAGTTATTGTCTGTCTCAGTATTTCTTGTCTGTGAAACAGCCTTTATTCAAAAGACTTTTGAATAAACAGTTTTACCTGCATTTATTTTCCTGTCCTTTCTTGTGTCAGCAGACACTGAAGAGTGGGTGTGACAGGGGAGGTTTCTGAGCTGGGCTTTTAGTGTGAAAGAAGAACTTCTGTCAGTCCTTCTGTGTGTCTGAACTAAAAAGCTGCTGGAAGTATTAATCCTGTACTCTGTGTAGGGGAAGGTCAGTGATCCCCATGTGAAGTACATGGAAGGTAGGAGATTTTATCTCTCTGTCTGTGGGCTCGGATGCTCTTGGTGCCAAAACAAAATGACACATTTTAGAAGCGATGTTCTGCTAACAGAGGAGAGAGCTGCCAGCCAACTGATCTGCATGTTTGTGTGAGTGCCAGAGTGAATCATGCATACTCCATAATTCTGTTTTTCCAGCCATGGCCAACAAATCTGTTCTTAAAAAAGAAAAAAGGCGGAAGAGCCGTTAAGTCAATATTTACGCCTAGCAACCTTAACAGGGTTCTTCCAATATGGACTCTTTTGTGTCCCGTGGAAATCCATGGCAACATTCCCCGAAGACTCGGATGGGTGGGGACGGAGTGGGAAGGAGCTCTCTGTCGAGTGCTGTACTGGGAGAGTTTGAGTCTGCAGTTAATCCAGGAGCCTGAGCCTGACAAAGCATTTAAGCATGTGTCTAGTTTTAGAGAATTATTGGTTCCAGTGAAATTGGTGAGGAAGCTGAACTCACCTTGCTGAGCTCAGGCCTAAAAGAAAGCTTCAGAGCAGGGTGAGCGTTCCACTGGAGATATGGTTTGGTACCATATCTCAGGAGAGGAGTCTTCTTAATGTCTTCAGTTAAGACATTAAGACATGGAAAACATGCTGTGGTTTAGAATCTGTTTGAGGAAGAAAATGGGATCTCTAGGACAGGATTATCACAGCTCCATTAACTACCTGGCTGTGGGGAACAACAGCACACAGACGCCTTTGTGTGACACAGACTTTTTCTGACCTGACATGTGGGGAATTTCATAACCTGCCCTGAAAACAACTGTGCTCTGGTTTTGAGCAGAAAGAGAAATGTGATCCTTTCTATTGTTTGCTGTAGAATAGCGGAAATTTCTTCCACTTATGGTAACTGTGCAGGTGTGAACACGCTGAAAGAGGAATCATCTGCTAGACAGGTTCCTGAGGGAAGTACGTGGTGTGAAGAGTTGGGCTGTGGAGAAGCAGCAATCTGAGGTTCTAGTTAAATAGAAAAAAAGAAAAAACAGTGCTTGTAAGAGTCAGAGAGAAACATGCCTGATTTGCTTGTTTTGTTCAGGGTTTTTTTTTCTTACCTACACCGTTATTTATAAGCAGAAACACTCTGTTACCGTGGGTAATACCTGCACAATCATACAGACTCAGTGCTGAGTCAGAGCAAAGCAAGGGAAGGAACAATAAACTGTGTGTAGCCCTGCACCCAGATGTATTGATTGCTTAATGGTAGTAATGTGCACATGAAAGTGCCTTGTTAAGCAATACTATTTATCTAGTAAATCATACTCTGCTTTAGATAGTTTCTGCTGAACAGGGGTTTTAAAAATAATTTCTAAACTACTTAGGTATCTCTTATGCTCTTCACCTCCTCTTTACTCTCCTAGATCCTCCAGAAGAGGCGCTGTTAAATTCCTTATTACAAATCAGATCCATGTCTTATTGGGGTCTGAAGCTACTTTTCCTGTGAAACAACTTGAGGGAACTGTTCCTAGCAGGTCAGCTAAAATTCTGCCGGTGCTTTCCATTGTTGTTTCCTTGGAAGACAGGGGGATGGGGTGTTCATGCAATGATTCATGCCCTGGCTCTGCCTCACTCCTTGAATGCCTGCACCTACAGCCAGGAGCTGCTGCTGTAATAAGAAGGGAGAGAGGAGGGGAGGCATCGTCCTGTAAAATCTGGGAGCTCAGGGCTGTACCCATCACAGAGCTAAACAAAAAGCAGCAATGAAAAGTTTTCCTAATGTGGGTGAAAGTGTGGATGCTCCTGCTCTCTCATAAATCAAATGATGGTCAAAGGGGCCCCATGCTCCATCCTGGAGGGCAATGCAGTACCTGGTGTTAAAGAGGACACCCTCAATAACAAATGTGGAAGAATCACTCCTTCTCAAGACTTACATGAAAGCTAAAAGGATAATTAAATAAATCGAGCCTTTTTGCTCCTTTTCAGCAG